TAAAATTTATGCGTTTAATATAAAAGTCACATTCTACATGTAATTAAAATTCATCATTCTACATGATGTTTGTAACCCCCAAATATCATATGGTCATAAATTTTAAATACTAAAAGGCTACTGTTTGTATTTTAAAATTTAAATAATAACTTTTCAATGAATATAAATTTAATTGAGAGAAGTAATAAAAATATTTAATCAACTTGTTCCCATGCTCCAACAATCGTAGTTTTTTAAAAAACCATTCTAATTTGACATAAGTAAAAACGTATAAATGTTTGAAGTTTGTTCTATACCTGGAGTTAGTTATCCCAACCATCAAAAATGTTTTCATCTGATTATGCAAACTTTAAAAACCGAATAAAGATTTATAATAATAATTTTTATAAATATAAGAATAAATTTTTATAAATCGGATCAAGACATTTTATTTAAAGAATTATACAAAGAATACGTAAAAGTAGGGTTGTTATCTGTCAAATATGTAGACATATTTTCTGCTGACATAAAATATGTCTGACATGTTTTCTATCGACATAAATTTATGCCTAAATTTTTTTCTGCTGACATAAAATTATGTCAAAATATGTTTGATATATTTTAACAATTTTATTTTGGACATATTTTATGTTTTATATTCTTGAAATATAAAACATAAAATAGTAACGCATTTCAGAATAATTTGATGAATAAAATGAAAATATATTAACAAATTAGTTTGACTTGTTATGAACAGCTAGTAATTCAGCAATAACATTAACAATAGCATTATCAAAATCAGCAATAACATTAGCAATCAAATTAGTTTGACTTGTTCTAAAACAGCAAATAATTTAGACATAAAGTTATGTCGAAATATGTCGAAAGAGAATATGTCAGACATATTTTGTCAGCAAAAAATAATTCAGACATAAAGCTATGTAAAAATAAGTCGATAGAAAATATGTGGGGCATATTTTATGCCAGCAGAAAATATGTCTGAAAATATGTCGACAGATCTGCCAGACATGTTATGTCGTAACAACCCTGCGTAAAAGCTTATGGTTATTCTAAGTCAAAACCAAACTGTCTTAAAAAATAAAATAAAAAATAAATAAAATGAAATAAAAAAATGATAAAAACCTTCATAAAAAGTCATATTTTAAATACATTTTCAAGTCAAAACTTAGTTGTTTAACATCTTCTATGCATTAATTTAGGCAATCAAATCTTATTGAGTTTTCTAATTCAAGTACTTTGACTATGTAGAACCTAATGTAAATTATTTTGCAGCAGAAGCATATCAAGTAATCTGATCAAGTATGTAGTAAAAGAGAGAGAAAAATTTGGTTGTTGAAAGAAAGGTAAACACTCGAAAATAGAGCTTTTTAAAACAAAGGGAACAAAATTTAACAAGAAAAAAGTTTTTAGAAGAAAAAAAAGATTCAAAGATGAAAATTTTAGAATTAGTTGGAAGAAAGCTTTTAAAAATTAAAAATTAACAATGTGATTTTACGGCTGCACTTATTATCTCCAAATGACAAGTGGGCGTCCATAAATCAAAAAAAAAATCAAACGGATTTATTAAAAACTATTGTTAATATTGCTCCTTACAGGTAAGCCGCTAATGAAAAAGATAAGATGCTGTACAAAAACGTCATGGGAATCAGCTCAAATATTAAAAGAGGAAATGTTTATTTTTGAGAAATAGGACCACAATAAAAATAATAAAAGTAGCTTGTTCATATAGTTTGACAACAATTTATAAAAAACTTTAAGCAAAAATTAATATAATAATTTAAACAAAAATTTAAAAGTTACCAAGTAAACTTTTGGTACGAAAATAACACAAAAGCCACTAGGCGTCCTACAGAGATAGAGTCAGTTTTTGATCCAATAAAAGTTATTTTCTTAAGTAAGGATGACTCGGCTAGAGTATTTTAAGTTTTTTTAATTTTTTATATGAAGAAAAAATTTAATTTATTTCTTTTAACACATTGTTTCAGCTTTACATTGGATTAACTGCTGGAAATAAGTTAGAGCCGTTGTTTATGTGAGTATTGAGTGACTCTACCAGATCATGACTGGGTTATTTTTAACAAATACAAATTAATCTCATATGTGTATGCTGAAATTGATATACTCTTAGATGATTTAGGAAAACTACTTGCTAACTTCATGCAAAAAATTCATGCAGGCAATGAACCATTATGATAACAAAAACATGCTGACAAAGTATTATTGCTTTGTGACTGATAGTTTTTTAGAAAATACCTAGTTGAAAAATTTGTAAGACTTTGTTGCTCTAAAGGCAGGGTTTTTTTTTGGAGGAGAGGGGAGGGGGATCTTTGATTTTGAATATATATATATATACATATATATATATATATATATATATATATATATATATATATATATATATATATATATATATATATATATATATATATATATATATATGTATATATATATATATATATATATATATATATATATATATATATATATATATATATATATATATATATATATATATATATATATATATATATATATATATATATATGTATATACATTTAGAATAGAAATTAAAAAAAAAAGTTCATGAATTTATCATCTGGTCACGTGACCGGGGCAAGATGATTTATTATGCAATTTTTGCTTCCAATTTTATAGAATTTTAAAAACTGCAAACTATTCTAATTAAAGTAACACAAAATAAACACACGTAGCAAAAAAAAAATTCTAAATAAGTTACACTCAAAGGACACCATCCATTACAAACAATCGAAATGTATTTTTTTTAAGCGCAAAAAGTAAACTTATGCGGGTAAAAAAAAGCAATTGGTTTTACTCAGCGTTTTTGGAGTAATTGCTCAACTTTACTTGAATAATTTGAAGTAATTTACTTTAAAAACGCTATGTAATTGCTCAGCTTTACGTGAATAAAAGCTTGAGCAATTTCGCTCAAATTTTTATTCTTTTGCTCTGCAAACTTGCACCCAATATATTTTATGTTACTCTTAACATAATTCTTTAAAATTATGTTAAGAGAATCACAAAAAGTTAAAAGAATTTTAAAAACTCATATATTTCTAGATATTTCTACTTACTAGTTAGTTCATAGTTATGAAGTAATCTAAAGGAAAGCAATCTTTAAAATAAAACACAAGGTTCCTGGAAACACAAACTTCCTGGCAACCGTAACAAAATAACATTTTTTTTTCACCAACAAATACCAACAAGCTCACGCATAAAATTTAAAAAATAATAATATTTTTCTTGAAGTCAACTAAGAATGATTTTAGATGTGTGTTGCAGCATGGAGACAGCCAATAACATTCATGTGTGATTGTAAAACAAATATCTGATGGTGTACCAAGTAAATGACAAACTTTGTTGACAAAATAATTTTGACAACACCCATATTGTCTAATCTTTACATCACAGTGTTTTAAAAAAATAAAAATGTTTTTACAAAATGCTAAAATCATAAAATATTGTGTTCTAAATTATCGCTTGAGGCTATATAATTAAAATAAATAAGGTTGTACAAAGCCATTGACCTCTTTTTTGAAAAGGTACAAATTACGTTTATCACTGCTACATTGGGTGCAAGATTGGAGAGCAATAGAAAAGCTGGGCGCCACATTAATTGTAGCTATAATTGTGCTTCTTACCTCCAAAATTAGATCAATTGTCAAGGTTGTTCCATGCTTTTGTTTTTCATATAATATGAAGAGAGCCAACAAGTGATGTCAAAGAATGCTGTTTTTGTATAGTGCTGTTCTTAAAGCACGGAATGTCCAAGAAGAAAGAGTTAATCGTCACCTATCTCCATATACCATCTACAATTCTTCAAGTACCTAATCGAGAAACTCCCTATTCCTAACCCATCAATAGACTATTATCTGAAATCTAAAGATGAAGAATTAGATCATGCTAGAGATAAATCATCTGAACTCTTAAAATCACAAAATCTTGATTTTATTTCTGAGATAACTTAATATTTCGGAGATAACCTCATAAACCAACATAAGATTATACAAAGTGAATCGGTTGACTTAATAAGAGACTTGGATTTGTTAAAAAACAAAGTAGCAAATTTGGCCACCAACTTTCAGCAGTGAAGTCTGATGCAAGATAATGTACAAATTTCAATATAAAGTGACTTCCACAAGAACTCAATTCAGTTCTTTGCAAGAAAAAATGACCTTACATTCTACCATTAGTTCAATAGACTAATGAATTCATTAAATATAATCAAACTAAATAAAAGCAGTGTTATTACTTAATGGAACTGACCATCAATTCCTGGAGGATATGCTCTATGTCTTATGTTTCGTGAAAAAGTCGTTTTATTTAAAATTTTTACAATAATTATAACTTGAATTAAAATTTAATAATTAAAAATAAAATAAAATAAAAAATAAAACAATAATGAAAATAAAAATAAGAACAATAAAAAACAAAAAAAGCTTTGATAAGTGCGTGTTATGTAAAATTGTCAAAAATGACTAAACGTAAAGTCATTTTTGACAATTTTAGGATTAAGTTAAAATAAATATTCTTTTCATATTAAAGATCTATAAAAGTTTTATTATTCTTCTTGTTGTAATTATTTTTTAAGTCTTCATAATTCATTTCTAAAAGTTTTTAAGTTTTATGAAATTTAAATTCTTAAATCTAAATCTAAATACTAAAGTTTTTTTCACACCAAAAAAAATTCATCAATAAAATTTTTGTGCAACCACTTTTCTTATCTGTTCAATTTGTTTTGTGTTTATATTTTTTCGTACTTATCGTGTAAACACGATACGTTAATTAATATGATAATTTACTCATAAATATTTAAGTTTATTCTAATCCTAATAGATTTTCGCCAATCCAAATAAGTTTTTAAAAATTTTGATATTATAGTTCAAGAAAACTTCAAAATTAGAATAAATAAATAAAAAGTAAAAACTATTTTATATACTTAAAAGTTACTTTTGCATTATTTTCCTAATAAATTGTTTTACCGTTACTGTTTCTTGTTGCGCATCTTGCAAGAGCAAAAAGAGTCACCACAAGGAATCCATTCATTCTAAAAATATATTAATTTATATAAAATGTCTTTTTATTATTTTCGTATTATAAATTATTTTAAAAGATAATGCTTCTTTTTATAAATAACCGATTTGAATAAAATTTTAACCTATTTAAAATACTCATTATTTTTAAAACTTAAGTCAGTTAAACAATTAAAACCAAATATTTTAGTTCAATTAAAATGAATTCTTCTTTTCAGCTGAGAGCAATGATTTGTAATATTTTGTTCCTACCTTCGTTTTTTAATTTATTGGAGTCCTACCATCGTTTTTTTTTATATGTTACTTAAGCTAAATCATAAAAATCTATTGCATACTCATTACAATTAAAGACAAAATTCCTACTTTGCAAGTCTCACACCTTGGTTGAAGTGTTTTGCATGCCAATTCGTTGAAATAAAATCATGCATCAAACGAGTGTAAGAACGCCTTGTGGCTTTCAAACGAACTGGCTTAAAATAATGAATGGCCTATTTTAAAGGGTTTGGTAAGAAAGTTTTGTCGTATTCAAAATATTAGCATAGCACGCTAAAAATTCTATTAATAAGATTTTATATAAAAACACAGGTGATACAGATATAGCGCTATTTACCGACATTTACAAACATTTAACGACAGTTCCTGTCAAATTTAAAAGATTTATAGCTTAAGTTTCTGAGCGGCACGCTTTAAAATAAAATATTTATTGTATAATTGTTTTGTAAATGTTACAATATTTAATTAAAACAATTATGTTATACAATAATAAAACACTGGCATTCACGCGAGTGCCTTAAGTTAAGGCTACTTTTGTTATTAAACTATTCCTTATTTTCATTTGCGTTATATTGCTTACATTTTTTTTAGCTGTACAATGAAATATTTTGAAATTTACAAACGTATCAGGAACAATCAGTTCTCTATTTACAAGTATAGATAAAAAAAAAAGTTATTTTATGAAAAAACTCTAAACCATCGTCAACCATTTATGGTCGACCTCTGAGTTTTGAGAAAAAGAAACTAAATCCGTTTTGATTTATGAAGAAAGTAAACTGAAAAATAAAATAGCAAATTTATTTCCATCCATTGTTGTTTTCGAAGGGCGAAAATTACAAACAATATCGAATTCATTATGATTGATGGAAAGGTACACGCTGTTTTTTCCAACACAACTGGTTCTAGTCAGTCATGTTCAGTGTGTTAATGTGAATATTTATATATATATATATATATATATATATATATATATATATATATATATATATATATATATATATATATATATGGGGCTGTCCATTAATTACGTCAACAAAATAGGGGGAGGGGGTTCTGAATTTTTTTGACAATTGTTGACAAGGGGAAGGGGGAGGTCAAGAAAAGTTGACGTCAACACTTTATTTTTTTTTTGAATATGTTACTTTTTTAACTATTTTAAAAAAGGGAAATTAGGCAGCGTTTGCAGTTCTGTGTTACATAATCGCTCAACCTTCAGTATTTTAATTCCTATCTTTTAATTTATATTCCTACTTTTTAAACTTTAAATGAGCGTAAAAACAAAGTATTTTCTGTATTTTCTCATAAATAACGTAAATGAGACTAATTCTGTTTTCTCCACAAATTGAATACTTTAAAATTTTTTTCTATTTGTAACTAATTAAACATATCAATTTATAAATTTTTTAATTGTAGTAGAAGATAATAATATATATGCATTTTTATTATTAAACCTATCATGTATATAAATATATATGATATGTTTAATTAATTACAAATACAAAAAAAATTCAAAAGTATTCAATTTGTGGAGACAGAATTAGCCTCATTTACGTAATTTACTAGAAAATACAAATATATGTATTTAGTAGAAAATACAGATATATGCAATTAGTAGAAGATAATAATATATAAATATATATATATATATATATATATATATATATATATATATATATATATATATATATATATATATATATATATATATATATATATATAATTGATTTTTTGACGAGATTAAAAAAATAACTACATAATTTATGCAATTGCAGGGTGGGTATTCTTTTGGTATTTTTGAACTGATTTTTTTATTGTGGCTTTTTATAATTCTTTCGATTTTTTTGGTGCAGCTGTAACTCACTTTGATGGTGTTTGGATTGAATAGTTTACTTAGGGGGATTTTGTAAGTAACATTTTATAATTGTTTTTGAACGTCACGATGTTATTATATAGTAAATTTTTTAACGTAAAAAATAATTTATTTTTGCCTGATGATTGCTAAACGCATGAAACTTTTAGTAGTAAAAATTATATAGTTATTTTTTTAATCTCTTTAAAAAATCAATTATATAACTCTGATATCATTCATCGAGTACTCTTGCTGAATATATGCTCAGAGCAAAATTAAACTTTCAAAATTTCCGAAAATTTTCCCGAAAATTTCCCGAGTTGAATTTTTCCGCCAAATTTTTAACTCTAGTTCCTTCCATAACTGAAAATCTCCGACACTGAAATGACTTCTTGAGACAACCAAACATTTGATTGCCAACCCAAGTTGCTGCTTCTACTTTTACTTTCAGTTTGTTGGATATTAGTGCTCTAAGGTACCTTACACTTCTAAGATTACTTTACACTTCTCGATGTTGAAATTCACAAAGTAGTTGTGCAAAATATTTACAGTCCTGTCAATGTCCGCTTAGAGTTTTTCATAAAGAAAAATTGGTTGACATCGATAACTCATATGAACTTGCCATTATCGGCGTATAGTTTGGTATGGTTATAAATGAAATCTGGTAAATCATTAATGCAGAACACAAATGGGAGTGATGCAAGAACCCTCAAGACGGGTGACAAGTGCCATCCCTCAAGAATCTCTGGTCACCTTTTTTTTTGATTTGTATTGAGATTTTAACACTTCTTAGGGTGTTGTTAAACCTTAGCAAACAAAGTTATAAAAATAAGTTATAAATTTATATAAATGTTTTTTTTTTTTGTGTGTTGATATTTAAAATTGCGATTTTTCAGGGTAATCATAAAAGCATTTATGAGATTTATTAATAATTGCTTTGGATAAAACCGAATGTCTACTTTAGTATTGTTAACATATAAAATAATTTTTTTTTTTTTTGGTCCCCACCAACCAAAGAAAGGAGATAAATTATTTGAAACTATTTTTTTTAATCTTAAAAATAAAAAGTTAATTGTTATTCACAGCTTAGTTGTTATAAACTTTTAAAAAACAGAACTGAAGTTAATGAAAAAAGTAACAAAAAATATAAACGCTTTTATGAAAATCTTCTCAAGAAAGCTAAAAAACAGAACTGAAAAAAGTTACAAAAAATATAAACGCTTTTACAAAAATCTTCTCAAGAAATCTTCTCCAGAAAGCTAAAAAAAATATTATAGTAAAGAAATTACAAAAAACAAACTCGATGTGAAAAAATCATGGGATTTAATTAAGGATATAATGGAAAGAAAGAAAATAAATACGGCTATACTACCTCAAAGAATAAATATCAATAAAACTGATATTTATTGTCCATTACAAATTTCGAATGATTTAAATAAATACTTTACAAATATTGGCCCTAACCTTGCTAAAAAATCATAACTACACCAAATTCTTTTCAAAAATATCTTAAATCTTTAAATGGTGCGATACTGCAAGATCGCGACTTTTCTCATAAGGAGTATGAAAATTGGTTTTTCTTTTTTAAAAAAGAATAAATTACCTGGTTTCGATGACGTTGCTAGTGATATAGTTATTTCAAACAAAAAATACATCTCTAAACCTTTGTTCTATATTATAAAACTTTCAATAAAAGAAGGAGTTTTTCCTGAAGCATTAAAGTTGGCAAAAGTATGTCCAATTTACAAAAATAATGATCAATCTGAAACCTCTAATTATAGACCTGTATCAGTACTTTCTGTATTTTCAAAAATATTTGAACGTGTAATTTATAATAGAATCTGTAACCATTTTAATGAAAAGAATTTATTTACACAAAACAGTTTGGTTTTCGGAAAAACCATTCAACAGAACACGCAATAATTAAAATAGTAAACCAAATTACTAAAGGATTTGAAAATGATAGCTTCACTCTAGGATTATATATTGACCTATCAAAAGCCTTTCATATGGTTGATCACCTAATTCCTTTAGAAAAAATAAAACACTACGGAGTGATAAATAAAAACTATGATTGGTTAAAAAACTACCTCACTGAAAGAAAACAATATGTTATTAGTAAGGAGTCAGGACAACTTAAAATTTTTTGTGGAGTTCCACAAGGGTCAATTCTTGATCCATTGCTTTTCTTAATTTATGTAAATGAATTAAATAATGCATCAGCAAAGCTTGACTCAATAATGTTTGCTGACGACACAAATCTCTTCTTTTCAAACTGTGACATTAATCAACTGTATTCTGATATGAACTCTGAACTAATGAATGTTGATGAATGGTTTAAGGCTAATAAACTTTCACTCAATGTAGACAAAACAAAATTTATTTTTTTTCATAAAAAATCGCAAGATGAAAAACTTTCGTTAAAATTACCTGATTTGATTTTAAATGACACACTAATTAATAAAAATAATTCAATAAAATATTTAGGAATTCTTATTGATGAAAATTTATCATGGCTTCCCCATATAAATTATATTAAATCAAAAATTAGTAAAACAATTGGTTTGATATACCGTATTTGTCCATATGTAACATCAAAAAGTCTGAAACAAGTATATTTTGGCCTAATACATTGTCTCATATACTATGCCAATATCACATGGACACTAGTACTCAACCAACAAAACTTAAAAAAATATTTTCTCTAAATAAACATGCATGCAGACTTTACTGATAAATTTAAAAAAAATGTAAACAAAAAATGTTCTCTTAGAATAAACAAATGGAATAATTATAATTTGCAAAGAATTAATAGTAAGTATTCTGAATATGGAATATCATACCGCGGACCAAAACTATGAACACTTTTCAAAAAACAAAAAATTTAAATACGGTAAAATCATTAAATTCATTTAAGTTTATAATAAAAAATGAAAATTTTAAATTAGATAAAAAGTTTTCATGATTGTTCGAAATGAAAATCGAGTTCCATTATTCTTAGTTTATTTACTTGTTTAATTAGCTCTTATTTTGATATTTAACAGAGTTGCCAGTATATTTAAATAAAAATTGCTAAAACTATATCATATTATTTACTTTCTTGATTTAATGGAAATATTTATGCAAGCTTTAACCTTTTTATTATATTGGAGATCCTTTTTTTTTTTTAACTTGTAAAGCCCATCTAGGGGATCTATGAAAAGGTTGTGGTGACTTTAGTCACCGTAGCTTCTTTGAGCCCCTGCCTGTTTTTATAAATCCACTTTTTTTTATATGTAAACGTTTCTTTGTAATTATATTGCAAATATATATTAAAAAAATAAATAAATAAATAAAATAAACAGCATTGAAATATAAACTAAATTGTTATGCGGCCGTGGTGCAGTGAAAAAATAATAGAATAAAGAAGTTAAACTAATAAAACAATTCAAAAATACAAGTTAAATAAGTCCACATTGCACATTTTCCAGGCCAACATCATCAGTGTTATAATGCCTAAATGGGGTTCGTGACCCTCTTAAGCAGAGTAGGGAGGCTCTATTAATCTCCATGGAAAGATGTGTCCTTAGACAATTTATAACAGCTCCGTACCGCTCACCAATTTTTAAGGACAGTTTTTGTGCGAGTAGTGCCGTGAAGCGTTTGCATTCGTCTCCAAACCCACCATTCGTACCAAAAATTAATGGGGTAAATGTCCCGTGTTCAACCTCGAGAACTCGTTCTAAATATTCACGTTTTTTTGCATCTTCATGCCTACGGAATATGTGTTTTGTTGGTTGTTTTTTGGAGGATTTGGAGTTTACGTACTAACATCTCTAACTCTAACATCAAAAAATGCAGTTTCTCCTTTTCTCCAAAACCCTTTTGCTTTTATATCCAATCTAGCTTCGTCGTTGGTATTGGCAGTTTTGAAATTAAATTTTTCATTTGTCAATGGAATTAAATGCGGCTCCGCTTGAACATTAGTACAAAATTTATTTAGGCAAACAGTTAATAAATCTATGATGTTATCATGTTTTTTACAAACAAAGCCACCTTTTTTGCATGACATTGCGTGTAGCTCGTCAATTTTTTCTCCACAAGCACAGTAGGATGGTAAATTGGCAAGTGGCACATTATATCTCAATCTAAGTGCGTCCTTAAACTCTTCCTTATTCAGATCTAGATGTTGTTCTTTAATTGGAAAGGTGTTTAACCAGCTGCTGGCACCTTTGTCACAGGCCTGTTCAACCAGAAGTTTAAAGTTTTCTGGAAGTCCTGCATGTATTTTTTTAACCTCTTCTTTTTTTTTTTTAGATTTATCCATATTTGTTTTTGTTTTTATTTCTGAAAATGTTTTCCCGAAATCATCTTTTTCTTTCATAACATCTGACTGATCGATTATTGATTTTATGTGCAAGTTAGTTATTTTCTTAGAGGCAGTATGCTTTTCCTTGGCTTCAGTTATTAAGTTACAAATTCCAAGTCCTCCTTCCGATGAATTTAGCGCCAATAAATCCCTATTTTCTTTGATTATAGAACAATTAGTTCCAAACAATACAGGTAATAATTTTTCTGATAAAATTTTTTCCACTGGTGTTACGAAATTTTCAAAAGCTTTAATTGTGCGTAAGAAGTAAGTGAATTTAGATCTGTACCCTTTAATAAAAGCTGAATAAGCAGCTTGTGGTTGCGTGGTGGCGATTTCGCAGAGACTTTTAAGTTCTTTAGACCATTTACTAACTAAATCCTCGCAATACACTTTTTTGTGTGCTTCCGAACCAAGTGCAGCTCCTAAGTGCTTTTTTCCCTGAGTAGTTATATTTATGGAGTTGCCAAATATAAGTTTAGCTTCTTCAGCTTGGTTATTAATCTGGATCTCCAGATTATAAAGTCTCGAACCTGGATCTCCAGATTATAAAGCGCTTGTTTTATAATCTGGAGATCCAGGTTCGAGACGAGCTCTGGATACATTTTTGCGTCAAGGTAAGGAAGAAGGCGTAAACTTTAGGTTAAATGCACTTCCACGGTGCTCTGTGACAAGATCGTAAGGTCTTTTTAGGACACCTAAATTAACAAAAAAAAAAATGCGCAATTTATTTAATACCTCATCAAAAAAAACAATTTTTTTACTTTTTTATAAATTAAGTCTCGTGTTTTTTTGTTTTTTCTGGCACCCCTATGGTGCCCGGGTCACGTATGCCCCTTTTTGCGCCTCCCTTTTGGCGACCCTGGAAAGACTGCTTAGTTGTATATAATAGATATTTTTTGAAAATTATCAACATCAACTTAAAAGATACAAAATCTGTCATCTCCGTATTCTTTTTAAAGTTTAAAAACTTAAAATTTTTTTAAGTTTTTTAACTCGTGTCTGTGAACTTTCAAATAATGTTTTGGTTTTCATATCTTAATTTTGGTATGTACTACTGGTTTTGCAATGTATTGAATACTGTATATCCATAATACTTTTTTTAAATGCAACAATTCATAATTATAAATAGTTGCTGACATTAGATATTATTAGTTTGATTTTTAGTTAATTACTTATTTTATTTAAACCAGGGCTGTGGAGTTGGAGTCGGAGTCGGAGTTACGGAGTTGCGACATTTTTAGCGGAGTCGGAGTCGCTAAACAAAATCACGACTCCGACTCCAATAGTAAGACTTCTCGGTATTGCACGCGCATGTATAAAACATTCAATTAAAAAAAAAAACATTCAATTAAAAAAAAAAGCTATCGGAGCTGATGGAATAAATGGTGACATAATTATCGAGTGTTTTGATCATCTCAAAAATATTCTTTATAAAATTTATAAATCATCTGTCCACCAAGGAGTTTTTCCTGATCATCTAAAAATTGCAAAAGTTATTCCAATTTTGAAAGAAGGAGACTGTTGCAATATCAGTAACTATCGCCCTATATCTATCCTTTCTACCTTTACAAAAATCTTAGAGCGTATTATGTACAATAGAGTATACAATTATCTTGTCTCCAATAATCTTTTTTATTATAATCAATTCGGTTTCAAAAAAATAATTCTACCGAACATGCAATCATCCAACTTGTACGAGAAATCTCAAATTCCTTTCAAAGATCCCAATTTACATTAGGTGTTTTTATTGACTTGCCGAAGGCTTTTGATACTGTCGACCATGAAATCCTTCTTGAAAAACTAAAATACTACGGATTAAACTATATAACTATAAAATGGCTTCGTAGTTACTTATCAAACCGCAAACAATTTGTTTTTATTAATAACTATAACCAAAGCCATCTACTAAATATTTCCTGTGGTGTTCCCCAAGGCTCTATCTTGGAGCCACTTTTGTTCTTAATCTATATAAATGACTTAAATAAAGCCTCAAACTTAATGAGTACCATGTTTGCCGACGACACTAACTTATTCCTGACCAATAATGACATATCCAAACTCTTTTCTACAATAAATGATGAACTCAAAAACATATCTACTTGGTTCAAATGTAACAAGTTAACTCTTAACATTAATAAAACCAAATGGGTTCTTTTCCATTCACTCTCTAAAAAACGCTATTTACCCCAACATTTACCCAAAATATTTATTGATAAATTTAAATAAAAAGAGATTTTGTCACTAAATTTTTAGGAGTGGTTCTCGACGAGAACATTACATGGAAACCGCATATAGAATATATCTGCTCAAAAATATCTAAAAGTAACGGAGTCTTATATAAATCTAGATCATATTTAAACAAAAAAGCCTTAACCCAACTCTATTATTCATTTATTCACACCTATATTAATTATGCCAACATAGCGTGGGGAAGCACCGAAAAAAGCTAAAATGCCTTTTTCGCCGTCAGAAGCATGCGATCCGATTGATTAATTCTGCGGATCGTTTTACTCATTCCAAACCATTATTTATGGAGATGAAAATACTTAATATTTACGAGCTCAATGTTTATAACATTTTATGCTTTATTTACATGTGGAAAAACGATTTAACTTTACCTGTCTTTAAAAACCTTTTTTCTCTAAACCCAATTAATAAATATTTACTTAGAAATAAAAATTTTGTACATGAACCTATTTGCAGAACAAAATTTAACAAATTTTGCATTACATTTCGAGCACCCTATCTTTGGAATAAAATTGTTATACCTAATTTTGATATATCCAATACATTTCCGATCTTTAAAAGTTAACTTAAAAATTTTGTTTTATCTATTGATGATATATTTAAATACTTTTTATAACAATCACTGATTTGTCTTTTTAATTGTAAGACTGTTGTATTTTCTCTTGCCTTTTAAAAAAAGAGATGTATTACTGTATTTACTATGTATATATATGTATTTATATATTTACGTTTTTATAAGATCTGATGATATGATCAGACTTCTTATTATATATAACATTAGTGTTTTGATTTATATTTCCAATTTATATCACGATTTATTGTAATTTTTTAGTTTTGTTAATGTATTGATTTTAAAAAAATTGTAAAAGGTTCTGATGATAAGATCACTATGATCTTCTTTCAGAAGCCTTGTCTGTTTATCTTTGTAAACAACGACAAAAATGAAACGAAAAAAAAAAAAAAAAAAAAAAAAAAAAAAAAAAAACATTCAATTAACCTTATATTTATACTAAACCTCAAAGAACGTTTCATAAATTTGTCCAAAAAGTTTTTTTTAACTTATCGCATAATATTTTTTTAAAAATTCAAAGAATTTTTCAAAAATTTTGCTTTGGAGTTGGAGTCGGAGTCGGAGTCGGAGTTGTACTCAACAACTGGAGTCGGAGTCGGAGTCGTTACTTTCTTTTTACTACTCCACACCCCTGATTTAAACAATTAATTATTTCTTCATTATACTATTATTGCATAGTTAATTTTTATCTACTTAGAAAATTATTTTACTTTGTGTTGTTTAATACTTAACAAACAAAAGGTATTTCAAATACATAAAATGTATTTAAAAGAAAAAACTACTTTTTTTTGAATTTAGGTGCGCATGTTTATACTTTTTCAGACATTTAAAACAAAAATTTTGTTAGCACAAACAAGCTCAAATGGAGCGCTAAAATCTCTTGATATATAAGCAACCAAAAGTATATTGCCAGCAAACCAATCAGACTTAATTTCACTAATTATGTTGAATTATGCAACCAAATGATAATCACTGAAGCGCTTTTATTCGTGCGTGTTTTTCTTATAAAAAATTTAGCTTACTTGAAGTTAAAAAAACACGTTTTGTTATTATCTTCTTTTTTTACATATATAAGCATTTAAATTGAAGTCTTGCACGCAGCTTTTTGCTTTTTGCTGAATGGTTATTTTTGAAAATGGCAATCTACTCACGCATACTGTTTCATTTAACAATTGTTCTGATGTATTTATCAGGTACCAAAGTTGAACTCGCAAAATTAATATCTACAAATTCAATCTTTTGACTCATTTTTTGATAAGTAGTTTTTTTTTAACGTCTTTTAAAAAACGAAAATAATGTTATTAAACATTTTCAACGTTTATCTTTTTCTAAAAAAATCAGAATAGATTTTGCAGACCTTTTGTCTATATTTACTATTTATGATTTTTAAGTAAACATCATAAAACCATTTAGAAAAAAAAATTATTCTGGTCCAGTTTTTTTGTTAAATGTAGTTTAAACTGGCACTTAGTAAAAAAATTTGGCGTTGATTTTCGGATATTTCTTTATTTTTTTCTCCCGATTTTAAGAAACTCGTTGCAGTGATCTCTCCCAAAAAATTGAAATGAAAAGAATTCAAGACAGACTCGAACTCAAAGAAGCTATGGAATCTGCTGCTGAATTCGGCGAAAAAATGCCTGTTTTTGCAAACAAGCGCGATGAAATACTATGGAAATTAAATTTAGCTAAAAAAACGTTAAAAAAAGCTCACGAACTCGAAAAAGTTGCTAGGAACTCAGCTGAACATTTTGGTTACTTTGAAAACGACAAACAAAAACACTCTGAAGTAAATGAGTTGCTCGGGAAAGCTGACGAAACATTAATGAGTGCAGGGGAAAAAATGGGTTTTGATTTCGAAAAGTATTAATTCTTTAAAAAATAATTTTCTATGTAGTGTTGAAGAGTTGTACAACAGATTTAACAACCATTACTACCGTTACTAATTGCATTGCGCAACTTTTAAGTATTTCGAACAAACTAACTTTTTTTTACAACATTTTATTTAACATGCTTTCTTGTCGGTTTGTTTATTTTTTTGGTGTCCGCGTAATACAAACACAAGGTCGGTGGTAATAATAAAAGAAATCGTTAAAAAAAGTTGAAAAACAACAATTATTGTTAAAAAACAAACAACGCAAGATAGTCTTTAGTTAAGCGTAACTAAATGTAAGTACAAGAAATCGTAAAGGAAAATAAAACAATAAAACTTTTAAAGGAAAATAAAACTTTTAGCGTTTTAGTTTAGCGTAAATAAATAGAAATGCTGTTGACTAATAAAACATATATATATATATATATATATATATATATAAAAAAATTTAAAAGCAACATTTTAAAAATAGACTAAAAAAAGTAAAAAATAAACTAATTCACGGGACCCAAGGACTTTGTGTACGTACACAACCTGAAATATCCATTATAGTAAATGAATGAAAATGTTAGGCGCCAATAGGAACGAGTTGTACTTAGTTGCCCAACATTTTCAGTTATTTCAGGTTGTGTACATACACAAAGTCTTTATGTCCCGTGAAATAGTTTATATTTTACTTTTTAGTGCATTTTTAAAATATTGTTTTTAAAAAGTTTTTTTTTATATATTTTTTTCTAAAATTAAGATAAAAATTTTTTTAAAAAAAGAAAAAAACAATAATCTTTTAAAATATTTGTTTTAATACTGTTTTACATGTTAAATATTATAAATTAGTAAATAATTTGTTGTTTTTCTTTTATTAAATATCTTCTCAAAATATATAAACTTATTAAATTTAAATCATTTAGATTGACTACTCTTGCCAAATATAATTTTTATTTTATTCGTGTTTTTAAAATGTGTTTTAAAAACGCCGAGTAGTCATAAAACACAAAAGAATTTTATTTAATCAGAAGAATTTTATTTAATTAGAAGAATTTCATTTAATTAAAAGAGTTTGCCTCACAGAAACATGGTGTCTCAATATTGAAAACAATTCAAATTTTCAGTTAAAAAATTATAAAGTAGTTCATCAACTTAGAAACTCTGTAAAACCACGTATGCATCTTTATCCACAACTCATTAATTTATAAACCGCGAAGTGATTACTGTTCAGCAAGTAATGATTGTGAGTAATTGACAATTGAAATATTTAGTAAAACTACCTAATACGTAATTGTGCATGCTTTATACAGACCGCCCTCAGGTAATATGAAAATATTTGATAAACACAAAAAATTTAATTATAAATAAAGATGTTTGTAGTAAATGCGTTTACCTTGTGGGCGATTTGAATTTAAATGTATTAGAATATGACTCAAATAAAAACGTTGGAAATTTTCTTAATTTATTATTTCAAAACGGATTTATTCTAACCATAAATAAACCAACTAGAATCACCAAAAATAGTGCAACCTCGATTGATCAAATTATAACAAACAAATTTACTGACGCAAAAGTTAAAACGAGAATATTTATATCCGATATATCGGATCATTTTCCAACTTTTATTGCAATTCAAAAATGTAATCTTTCAAAAAACTCACAAAAAGTAAAAATAACCAAGCGAATCATTAATGACGTTTCTATTGAACTTTTTAATCAATCTTTATCTTCTGAAAACTGGGAAAATATTTTATAAATAAAAAGCACTAACAAAGCTTATGACAATTTTCTTCAAATATTTCAAAAACATTACAACAACGCATTTCCAGAGATAACAAAAATTATTAAATTCCTAAAATCTAACCCATGGATAATTACCGGAATAGTAAAATCATCAAAAAAGAAACAACCTTTATACGAAAAATTTCTAAAAAAAACAACATTTGATAATGAATCCAAGTTTAAAAAATATAAAGGTATTTTTGAGCTAGTTATAAATCGTTCAAAGTTATTATATTATTTAAATTAATTACTGAAATGCAAAGGCGACACTGGTAAAAAAAAGTTATCAACTACTTGTCTTCCAAAAACAGTAAACTTTAATGACGTTCATATACTTAATTAATCAAAAATTGTAAAAACATATAATCAAGTTTTTGTTAGTGTAGAATCAAATTTAGCCTTAAAACTAAAACCTGGTAAATTTAGCGTAGAGTCATATTTAATTGCTAACAATACAATAATGACCAACAATAAACTGACTGAAAATGAGTTATTAATTGCTTTTCAAACGTTAAAACTAAACAAAGGATTAGGAGTTGATGAGATAAGCAGTAATGTTGCAATAAAATCTATGCATTATTTAACAACACCACTGTAGCTTTAATCTTTCTTTAAAACAAGGAATATTTCCAGAAAGTTTTAAAACTGCAAAAGTTATACCGGTTTTCAAATTGGGTGATTCTTCTTATGTCACTAATTATAGACCTATTTCCATTCTTTCTTGCTTCTTTAAAATTCTGCAACGAATAATGTAGAATAGACTATTCTCATTTCTAGAAAAAAATAATAATTTATACAAGAAACAATTTGGGTTCAAAAAATGTCATTCAACTGATCATGCTATTCTTAAACTTGTTCATGATATTTTTTGAGCCTTTGATAAAAAAGAGTACACATTGGGCATTTTTATAGACCTTAAAGCCTTTCAAAGCCTTTGACACAGTTGACCACCATATTTTATTAAAACAATAGTAAATTACGTAGTTAAGAATGCAAATATAGTTTGGTTTAAAAACTACTTGTCTAATAGAAAGCAGTATGTTTCTTATGATGGTGGTAAAACTCAAAATAAGACAACCATTTGTGAAGTTCCTTAAGGATCCATTTTAGGACCACCTTTTTTTTAATATTTTACATTCACAACTTAAGCAAAGCTTCGAATATTTTAAACTTTTGTTTGCTGACGATACCAGTTTAATTTATTCCCACAGTAATATAAATCCCTTTAAATTGATAATAGAAATCAAAAATTTGTAATTAAAAAGTAAATTGATTTAATTAATATAAATGAAATGAAAATGGCTTAAACATATTTAAAAATACACAATTTGATTATGTAAAGTTAAAATTATCAATATATTTTTATACAAAAGTTTATTATTTTTATTTTTAGAAGCGTTTCTAAATCCTTTAAAAAACCTGACGAAGGATATAATTGATTTTAATAATGGTGACTCAAAAGAGTTATTTGAAATAGGGCTGGATGTTTAAACATAGAGGCAAAAGAGCTTAATAACAAATTTATACTTATTTTGCTTTTAACATGTTTTCGGAGAATTTATTTTTGAAAATAAATATTATTAGATTGTTGTCCTTTTTTTTATAATTATTTTTCTCTGTAGAAAGAGAATTCTTACTTGATTAGTTATTAGCTAAAATTGTTAATGAAAACTAGTCTGACAGAGTCATAAGCAACGGAGTTTAACCTTTATTAAAGAATAAAACCTAAAACAAGACGTCCCAAGGACGCCCCAGTGGGTATTAGTTGTTCTAAGGACGTCCGTAAGATATTGGACATGCGTCCATAGAAAGTCTTATATGACGTCCCAGTTAGGTGTATACTTCGTCTTTTAGGGACGGGCGCAAAGCGTTTAAATTGGCAAGTCCCTTGAACATGTTCTCTTTGTCCAATTAAGACATCTCCTGGTCCAAATTGGACGTCTTTAGGACGTTTTATGAACGTCTCTCTGCACACTAGGTTATCCTGTTTTTAAAAGTAAATTAAAAGAGTTTATTCTCTCTGTTATATTATAGAATACTTTAAACATTTTGTTAGAAGTATTCTAAGATATTTATAAGAAAAGTTTGGACATAAAAAAAATACATTTTTTAATGCTCAAACAGAAGTTTTAAATCAAAGTTGTTTAGCACGTATAATGTATAAAATATATTTAATATAGCCTGTCAAAATATAAATGAGTAATGAAAAATTTTAAGGATTTTAAGCCTCATTTTAAATCAAGCTTGAATAACTGATCTTTTTGCCAGTTACTCATAAATCTTATTTATAAATAAGTATCATTATTTGTAGGTATATGTGTGCAATAATTTGGTAAAACCAAATGCATAACAAAAAGCATAACAAAAACACTCATAAATTGATAACAGGTGGCATAAGAAGATTCGGAAGCACTCGGAACATTTTTTCGGAAGCAATAACAACATTACTGGCTTGAATTTGGAGTTCTAGTTATCTTTGCTGTTCAGCAAACTCTTTTTTTGTTTTTGTTGCTGTTTTTGTTGCTGTTTTTGTCGATTTTTTATCTTCTCTCAAACGTTGGCCTTTGCATTTACGAACAAACTTTGTCATTAACGATTGAATCTTCGCAGGGATAATGGGACTGTCCGACAAGGTAACCTAAATAGATTTTGTAATACGTTTTTTACATATAATTAAAATTTAATACCTTTGTTATGAATTTAACAATACTGTAATAATAACTTTGTTAAAATTCAACTAAGGTTGAAAATCAAACAAACAATAAATTTAAAAAGAAACCTGAGGAACAGCTTTCTTTAAAATATTCTTGTATTCCTCCTTAGTAATTTCTCTATTTTTAAAATAGACTTTTAAAACACGTTTCATTTGCTCTTCAACCTTTGCTCGGCGCATCAAATAATCTGTTGATTTAGGCTGAAAAAATGAAAACAACAACTAAATAATTACGCAATTAAGTTAATATTATATGAATTTAGTTCTATACTAATAAATGTAATCCGCGTTACATTACTTGATACAAAATTGAATTATAGCATAAACAAATATAAATAATCTTTTGACTGACCTTGGAACTTCCCATATTTTCTGATCGTTCTTTCATTTCCTCCAGTTTACGCTTTTTATGCTTTCTAGCTTCATGTTTAAACTTTTAATTTCATTATATCTTGAAAAGCTTTAACTTCCTTGCATGCGGCAAAATCTTTCTCTTTGGAGAATACTTTTAACTAATTTATCTTGTGACGAAATAATGTTTTATTGTTTTGAGTTATGTATGTTCAGTTTTTATTTTACACTTGAGTACAATTTATATTCATATATTTAAGTACTATTTATTGTTTTTATGTTCTTTTTACGTTCTCTCTCGTAAAAAAACGTTTTTATATTATTTTTATATAATTTTGCATTATTTTATTATTTTTATACTCTTCTTTATAAAATGCTTCTGATGATAAAATCATTGTGACCTTCCTTTAAAAGCCTTGTTTATATTTCCAAAGTTTATAATTATATAAACTTTGGAAAATTACAATAGTTGCTCATAATCATATTATGAGCAACTATTGTAATTGATTAATTTTATTTTGATACGGAAATATCAATTAAGTGTACCGTGCTTTTGATTATGTAAATGCTTTTCATACGATAATAAAAAACTATTATCGTTATTTTACTTTTTCAGTTAATAAAATATTAAAGATTAAAATATTGAAAAATTACGAAAGTTTCAATGCAACAATGGGTAACGACCAGTGGCGGATTTAGTATATGGCGTGGGGGGCGGGGAATTGCCCTACGCCCCCTAAAACGATCAAACGGCGCCCCCTATAAGATTAAAAAAAAAATTCTAAATTCAAAAAATAAGCAGCCGTGGCGTAGTGGTAGCGCACTTGCCTAAGAAACGTAAGATCCGAAGTTCAAACCCCATCTCTAGGCAAGCTTTGCGACATTGGTTGGGAAGGAGGCGTGAACTTCCTATTAAATGCTCTTCCGCGGTGCTCTGTGATAAGACCGTAAGGACTTCTTGGGGCACCTTAATCAACTAAAAAAAAAAAAAATTACCAATGAAGAACAAAATGAAAAGAATAAAAATAAGTACAATTGGAAAGAGAGATTTTTAAAAAGAGGTTGTAAAATATTTCCTTTCCAAACATTAATATTAAACTCTGCAATAGATAAGCATATGATGGTGTTTATGTATTGTTTGGAATTAAAAGTGGTCTTTAAACTCGAATAAAAGCGCTTTCACCAAATGCCATCTATGTTTATTGTTTTGCTCATGTTTTAAATTTGGTGACCATCAAATTAGTAAAAAATGTGCAGGAACTAGATGTAGAAACTGAATTTAAAGAAAACTCGTCTTTCCTTAAATTTAGTTAACCTAACATCATGCCAAAAAGAAACGCATGACAGAAGAGCTTTGGAGAAATAAAAGTGTTAATGATCCAACTGCACGCCTAAAATGTGAAACCTACTTCAATGTTTTGGATACAATTATAACAGTTATAATTATGAAAATCGTGTTCTAAAATCGTGAAATCGTTTATTTATTTGGGTTATAATATAACCCAATGGGGTTATATTATAACCCAATTGGGTTATAATATAACCCAAATAAATAAACGATTTCACGATTTTAGAACAGTTACACGTTTTGATTGCCTTGATCCGTCAAAAGTATCTGAAGAAAATATAAATTCATTTCAAAAATTTATTGTAACGTCAAATTGTCAAAGTTATTGTAACAACATAAACACTGAAGAAGCAATCGTAGAGTATGAGACTTTCATTGATGTGTATGCATCGATATTCCCATTACTGACAACTGAAATGCAATTGAAACATTTAGTTCTTGGTTGAGAAACAGATGGCAACCGGTTGCCCTAATTTGTCAATACTTTACAAAATCTACATGGCTCTTCCTGTTACATCTGCTAATGCTGAAAGAAGTTTCAGTAAACTAAAAATTCCAAAACTTATTTTAGATTAACAATGATAAACGAACGTCTTTCTGGGTCAGCATTAATTTCTATTGAACGTAAGCTTGCTGAAAACATTGACTTTGACTTGTCTATAAATTGTTTTGCTTCAATAAAATCTCGCATAATTTGTGTAAACTACCTGAAAAGTGAATTTTTTTTCTTTCTGCTAACATTTGTAATATCTCTAATTAAATAGATTTTTAAATGATCAGTAATAATAAATGTTCCTTATTTTATAAAAAAGAATTGTTAACTAAAATAAATAAAGGAAACTTAAAAAAAAATTAGGTTATTTAGTGTCTAATATGTATGTAAAATGTATAATAAAAGTCACTAAAAAATTTAGTCTCTCGTTACCACATCCTGAGAAAATTTTTCACACGTTTCAAAACTGAGAAATGACGTTCATGACATCCATCGCATTGAAGCTATCGTATCGTATCGTATCGTATCGTATCGTATTGAAGCTATATATAAAGATAGTTTAAGTTTAGTTTCACATTTTTTAAATATATAAAATTATGTTAAATATAAAAATTAGGACCTTACTTTGTTAGGAAAATTTGCAATAATTAAAAATTATATTTTACTTTGTTATTATATTTGTAATAGAGAATTTAGCTAATAAAAACGCAAAGATTTTATTATGTGAAACGTTATAACTACATTAAAAGTTAACGAATAAAGGAAAACAACAATAAATTTTGAAAAACTACACTTTAATGTTATCAATCGGCAACTGTTTTGTTGCCCCTCTAATTGGCGCCTCTGACTATTGGCACGTTGTTATAAACATGGTTGTCAAATCTATCAGTGGATAGACTGGTTCTGCAACTAGAAATATATCCGATTATATGTAATCTTAAATTATTAGTTTTACCAGTATATGTGGCTTATTTATTATATGATGAACATTTAAGGTAATAAATTACATTTTTACTATTGCAAGTGATATGACTTCTTACTTTTCATATAGTACCGTTAGATGTTTCGAACTCATCTACTTCTTGAAAGTAGAGTTTGCAATTTTTTTTTTTAACTTTTTCATTAGAAGAAACTTTAAATGAAAGGTTTGCTTCAGTAACATAAGGTTGACAACTAAGATTGCTATAGAAGGTTGTCACTAAAGGAAATATTTCTTTAGATTTTTTTACTACTAAAAATGTAATTTATCACCTTAAATATTTATCGTGTAATAAACAAGCCACATATACTGGTAAAACTAATGATTTAAAACCAGACCCGTAATACGGGTCATGATAGGTCTGATTCATATCTCCCACTTATTTTTTACTCGTTTTCAATAAGTTACAGAAAATGTAGAAAGTAATAGTCTTAGCTTCATTAGAGGTCTTATTTAAAGTTTCCTTTTGTGTTGCTCGAGCATTTTATGGTTATAGCATAACATAACTTTTTTTCCATGTGTGTGTGTGTGTGTGTGCGTGTGTGTGTGTGTGTGTGTGTGTGTGTGTGTGTGTGTGTGTGTGTGTGTGTGTATGTGTGTGTTTAACTATAAACTTTGAAACTTTGTTCTAATCTATTACTTATCTTTATTTTATTTTATAATGAAACAAAAATTAAAAAAAAAAAAGGTAAGCGAATCGGTCGGAAGTGACCTACCGTAGAGCTGTTAGCGTATGCCAATAAATTTAGCGTATGCAAAAAGTATCGGGAATATATTTAGCCTGGTCTTCGTTTTAATTTTGCGTTAAAATTGTTAGTTTAATCGAAATTGTTCGTTATTTTTTGTATAGGTAATTGGTTGAAAAGGTTAGAAAACAGATATATCTCGAGAAAGAAAAAAAAAGTTTAAACTTGTATTTACGAAAAATCTTTCAACAACTCCTTAAAAATATAAGTTTTTAAGTTTATATATATTTAAAACAAATTATTTTAAAATTTATAAATGCAATATAATTAAATATTTAGTAAAACGCACACAAAAAAAAAAAAAAAAAAACAATTTGTCAATTTTCTTAGAAAAAAATTAACGTTGAAGAGCACTTTTTGTAGCAACACTTTTACAGCAACAACTTTTGTAACGAACATACGTTTCAAAATCAGTTATAACAGCCGCCACTACAAGATTGAGGCCTAACACAGCTTATTATAAAGAAAACCATATTTTAATACAGACTAAAAAAATTAGGAAAAAACAAAACAACAAACAAACGCTTATTTATTAAAACCACTATTAAAAGTTATAGAACAAGGTTTAGTTAAAAAAGCTACCCGGGAGAATAACTAACAATTGTAACTAAGCGCATTAAATTAATAACTTACAATTTATCTAAAAAAAATAGTTTTAAGTTATAACTAAATTTAAAAATAGAACTATTCTTTTAGAAAAATACAATAAAGTTAAAAATAAATAATAAAGTACAATATTAATTTTTAAGTTATATATACTTATTACCTGATTTGGTCACGTTTAAACCGTTAAATTGGGTGTCAATAAACTGCCCAAGAGAAAAAACTGTAATCGTTATAACTAAGCGCATTAAATTGGATTTTTCATATGCAGCCAATTACAATTTAGCTTATTCTTTTTTAGCCAATTACATTCGTTATAACCATTGCAGCTAAGCGAATTAAACAGTAACTAAGCGCGTTAAACGTTAAATTGGATTATTTAACGCAATGTTTTTTCGTGTCCCGAAAGTAACACTCTAAAATTTTACCAACGACTAATAATTAAACGAAGTTACAATATACAGCGGAATAAATAATTGATCTATATATTATTTATTGATCTTTTTCTCTCTCTCTATATATATATAAGAATTGCACACAAACCATTCAACTTAGTTAGCGTTAACCCACTTCATATGAGCACTTCACTGCTCTGATCAAAGGAGGCGAGAACATATTCTACCTTTTTTTACATTGGTTACAATAGACGTGTTCACAGTTTCGGTACTTTCGCGCGCACAAATCTTAATAGTGCTTATGCGCAGAAACGGATGAAAAAAAAAGAGAACACACCAGAAGTTTATTACAACAGCGCGGGGATTTTACATTGAGGGAAGTACCCCAAATATAAAATCCTCGACTACCTTCCGTAAGGCATGGCAATCATATTAGATTTTACAATATACATTTATTAGCGGATAATCACGCTATCATCATAATGTAATCTGCATGAACTTACAATAACGATAATTAACAACGATTAGTGATATGGATTGGATGGGTTACCCCTAACAACAAAAAAGACTTCTACTTCGAATTAGAAACGTTATTGTACAATATTTCAAAAATATAAAAAGACATTTTTTAATGCTCAAACAGAAGTTTTAAATCACAAAGTTGTTCAGCACGAATAAAGTATAGGATATACTTTATAAAGCCTGTCAAAATATAAACGAGTAGTGAAAAATTTAAAGCAATTTAAGCCTCATTTTAATCAAATGAGAAACTTATGCACGTAATAGAAAAATTATTTTTTGCTAAATATTAAAGTTATTTCAATATAAGCTTATTTATTTAATCCAACATTATTTCAATGCAGACTTAGTTAACATTTAAAAAGAGCTTTTATTTTCTTGCTTGAAAGTTTTATAACTGATGTCTTCGCCAGTTACTCGTAAATCTTATTTATAAACTGGGTGGCGTTATTTGTGGCTATAAGTAGGAAGTAATTTGGTAAAACATTTATGATCACTCAGGCTGGCATGATTCTAAGCTGTTTTAAGCTGCTTAATTATGAGGCTAAAATTTCCTCACAAATTGATAACAGGCGGCATAGGAAGGTTCGGAAGCACTCGAATTTGTTGGAAACTATTAATGACAGCATTACTGGTTTGAATTTGAAGTTCTAGTTGTCTTTGCTGTTCAGCAAACTCTTTACGCTGCTTTTGTCGATTTTTATCCTCTTTCAAACGTTGACCTTTGCATTTACGAACAAACTTTGTCATCAGTGATTGAATCTTTTCAGGGATAATGGGACTGTCCGACATGGTAACCTAAATGGATTTTGTAAAATATTTTTTATATATAATTAAAATTCAATACCTGTGTTATGTATTTATCAATGCTCTAATACAAACTTAATTAAGATTGCAAATCCGAAAATTTAAAAAGAAACCTGAGGAACAGCTTTCTTTAAAATATTCTTGTATTCCTCCTTTGTGATTTCTCTATTTTTAAAGTAGGCTTTTAAAACACATTTCATTTGCTCTTCAACCTTTGCTTGGCGTAACAAATAATCTACTAATTTTGGCTGAAAAACCGAAATCAACAACTAAATAATTACGCAATTAAAAAAATATTATATGAAATTGATTCTTTATTAATAAATCCACGTAACATTACTCAACACAAAATTGGATTATTGCATAAATAAAATAATTTTTTAACTGACCTTGGAACTTCCTATATTTTCTGATTGTCCTTTCATTTCTTCCAGCTTACGCTTTTTATGTTTTCTTGCTTCATGTTTAACTTTTGACTTCATTATATCTTGAAAAGCTATAACTTCCTTGTATGCGGCAAAATCAACGCCTCTTTCATCTTCGATAGCAGCTGCACTTGGTGAAGGAGGTGAAGAAATGTCAATGGGACTCGCAACCTCTGGATTATAAGGAGAATTGTCATCTGAGTTTGTGGCAACGCCACCATCATCTTCGTCTAATGGACAAGATTTCTAAAAATTTTTAAACTTTTTTTAACAATAATATAAAATATACAATCAAAAGTACTATATAATATATAAATAATACACTATAAAAACAAAACGCTTACTTTCAAAATAAATAAAAAAATACACTTTAAAAACAAAACGCTTACTTTCAAAAATTTACTTGTGTAAAATTTAATTTATATATGTTTTTAATCGACACAAGTAAATATAACTTTTAGTAAGATAATCTTAGGATTAATATTAAATTATTAAAAATTAATATATCAAATAATGTATAAATTTAAGAACAATTTTCAATGTGTTGATGCAAGTATTACTTGTAGTAGCACAACCTTAACATAAACTTGCTTACCCAAACAATACTAATAGTACTTGGTGTAGTTAAGGCGATTTAAAAATATTACATTCTGCTGATATATATTTATATTTATAATATATTTATATTTAAATATATTATATTCTGCTGATTGTGACATATTTCCATTATATGATCTGGTCTCGGAATTAATGCTGTTGAGCAAAATAGATCTAAAGACTCAAAAATGGTGTTCTTAGGGTTCATTATTAAAGGTATTAAAAAAGTTTTAAAATATTATATAAAAAAGAGAAAACTTTCTCTAAACATAAAAACCAAAGCAAAAAAAAAATTATAACATCTAAAGCCTTTATTTGGACTTAATACGCTGACAAAATCATGTTAATTCTAAATAAAAGAATTCAAATAATTTAAAAATCGCTTTAACTATACCGAGTAGGACAATCTTAACATAATCTTGTTTACTCAAATAGAGTAATTAAAAGTAACAAGTAAAATTGACACAAGTAGCAGCGATATTTAACTTAAATGCAGGTTATTTCACATTAAATACACTAAAAGCTTATTTAACACCATGTTATTTAATGTACCAGATAGTAAGGCCTACAAAAATCTTGACCTACTAAGTTCTACAAAATAAACATCTACTAATTAGTGGAACTAATTTTAAGATAACCTACTGAGGCCTAAATTGTTTATAAACGATTAGTCTTTTTTATTTTCAACCGATTTATGAGGCTTTTGTTTTAGACCGATTTATTTTTTGACCTATTTTAGAGATTTTCATTTTCAACCAATTTGAGATAAATTAATTTTCAACCGATTATCTGGTCTGTGTTTTTAATGTTGTTATTTTTAAACTAAGAAGTTTGTTTTTTTAAGTTAACAATCAATAAGTTTTCCAAGCATTCATCGAACCTTGAACCTCCTGATTCTGAAGAAAGCGCTTTATCCGCTGTGCCAAGACTGATCAAATTTGGCTCATGTTCAAATCAACAACAAAATATACAAAATACATACCGGAAAAGCGTAGCTATAAAATTGAAAATACAGTAGATTGAATGTTCAGTAGGTTGAAAATTCAGTAGGTCAAAAATACAGTAGATCAAAGATTTAGTAGGTTGGAAAATTAGTAGTACATATTTTAATTAGGTGTAAATATAAAAATCAAAAATTGTTGGTTGAAAATCAAAGACGTCATAATCTACGATTTACGAAATTTCAAAATTAGGATGAGTTGTAGGCCACTTTATTTAATATGATTATTGAGACTTTTGGTATATAAGTTCATATTTTCTTCTGCCAAACCTCACTCTAAACTATAGTAACTAATTCTTTATGGTTTCAAAGATTGACACCTTGTCTCAATTTTTTTTTGTCCACCTTTCTTTTTCAGCAAAATTTAATTTTCAAACATTGTCACAAATAAGTAATATTTGCTTAATAGTAATGAAAACATTAACAAAAAATCCATCTAACAAAGTTAGATTTTTTTTTTCTAATTCACCTCCCCAAGGCTGAAAAAGCCACTACAGATGAAGAGACTACTTAATTGTGGTTATAACCCTCTCTCAACTATATAACTCTGAAACAGGAACCTTTACGAACAAGGCTGCTGTGCGGATAAACAAGTTGAGCGCGGTACTACTAGAGACGTGGTGGGAATCAAACTTGGAACCTCTCGCTTATGAAGCGAGCGCTCTACCACTACACCATTACCGCATATTGTATGCATTTTTTATTAACATTTCTTTATTTGGCGAACTGAAAAACTGAAGACAATGAACTCCAAACAAATTTTTAAACAAAAATTATAACTCTTTTTTGACAAATATGGTTATTATATACTTACAGAATAAAACAAAGAAAAAAAAGATCAATTCCAATTGGAATCAGAAAATTTTAAATATTAGTTTAATATTAGACCTAATATATTGGAGAGCGGTTTGATGTTTCTAACATTAAGGTGCAGATATCACACAATTTGCATTAGAAAAAGAGAACTCTATCTTTCCCTAAATAGGAAATTGTAACAATGCAGCAGGAAAATGATAGAGAAAAAAGATTTTGTAAATATAGCTTAAAGTGTTTGATACTCTGATTATCAAAAGCAGTTAATCAGATATAGTTTTTCTAACTTTTTTTCACGCCATCTAAATGACGCATGACAGTATGTGAAATAGATACGCATACATACAGCCTCAACCATCAAGATATAATGTCAATGACTAGCACACTTACTGAGGAAAAAAAAATTACAAGCTTGGTTTCAAGAAAAAAAGTACTTATAGTTTTCACTGAAACAAATGTCATACCCAACAGTAGTTTATCGCAAACTATTTTTGTAATCAATGTTATAAATTAATAAACCTAATGTATAATAACTTTTATAATGCTTTGAAGTGCAATTTTTGAGATATTGCTTGATAAGTCACCTAACTGGCTGAAATAGTTAATGCTTGCTGCTTATATGCGATAGAAAAAAGTTAACATAAGATAAATTTTTTGTGCAGCTAAAAAGAAGCTTATATATATTGTCTATTGATAGCTCTATAGTGTGTGTTGCTTCAACACTTAATAAACTATTTATTTTCACCCTGTTCTTAGTCACCCCCATTGACAGAATATATATATTTATACTCTCCTAAATTGTAATTTTATATATTTCATCTCAGATGACTGTAGTAGATATCATATGACTAAGTATATTAGGCATGCTAAAAGCAATAGTCTGAAACTGTTCATTGCTTTTCAAATGAAATCTTAATAACTACTTTTTACAATACATCAAAAAGCCCTATTGATTTATCTATTGGAGTAAAACACGATAATTCAAAGCGAAATAGAGCATAGCCGTAAAAATTTGCTGAACACTAACACCAACTACAATTTTATATAACAAAAAAAATTTGAACTTAAGTTATTTCTGAACAATTAAAGTACTTTTGTTTGTTAGCAAGCTGACTCAAGGTCATATTATTGGCCTTCAAGAGATGCGTCAATAAATTTGTTTGTTAGCAAGCTGACTCAATGTCATATTATTGGCCTTCAAGAGATGCATCAATAAATTTGTTGTTAAGGAATAATATTTTAACAATTTTCACAGAAAGGAAATACGTCATTTAAAATTTTTTACTTTTAAAGACTTTAACATTTAAAAAAAATTTTAGTACTTATTTTATCTTAAATTTAGAATTTCAAACTATTTCTTAATTTTTATGATTTATTTTGTTATTTATTCTAACTTATACATTGGTTTTATTGTAATTTTATTGTATTTATATGTAAATTCAATTGTTACAAGTAAATTTACATTTATAGAATGTCCAAAATGATAATGACCAATAAAGTTTTTGTAAAAAATTCTTAAAACAACTTAATCAATAACTTTTTCTTTATTTAAACTTAGCTTCCTTTCGAATAATATAACAGAAAAAACAAAGGCTAATAATGTGGTCAAAAACTGCCAAGAAAAAAATCAAGGAATAAAAAGTGAATAAAAGTAAAAATTTAATTAACCTCATATGTGTATATATATCTGCTTGTTTTATGAGAAAAAAATATATATATTTTATCATAATAAAAGTTCTTTATTAGATCTGCCCAAACCCTTAGTCAATGTCTGTACTGAAGCCTCACATGAAGCTATTAGTATAAAAACAAAGTTACATGCCACAGTATGCTGTTTGTGTCTGGATATGTATATATATTAAGAGATTTGGGATAAAATATTTGTGTGTTGTGTATATATATACACCCACAATTCCTTAATGTGTGTAAGAAGGGAGTTTCCCAAATATTTGTAAACTTTCTGGAATATCACATAAAATAAAAATTGATGTTTAAAAAGTAAACTATAGGATTTAGTCCTTTATGTTTGTTTTTTGAGATTTTTAAGGAAAAATTAAAATTTAATACCTAAAATATCAATTTAAAAAAAATTTCTCACATTAAAACTATGTTCGGGTTTGAAATGAACATTCTGATTTAAAAAATAAACAAATAGATAAAACAATAATTGATAAAAATTGTAAAAATTTCTTTCAGTTCAATAATGGCTTATATTATATAAACCAAAATATCACTATAAAATAATAAAAATAATATACAACCAAGCATAATGTAATCTTTTATTATTTAAATATAAAATATTTTATAAAGAATGTCACTTACAAACAATATATATATATATATATATATATATATATATATATATATATATATATATATATATATATATATATATATATATATATATATATATATATATATATATATATATATATATATATTGTTTGTAATAATATATATATATATAATAATATATTTGTGATAATATATATATTTTTAAATTTAATTTAATTTTAAATCTCTTTATTAATATTAACTAGCTGTTCAGACTCCTTTTTAGTAAACAGTAGAAAATTTTTTTCAATAGCTGATAGTTAAATAGTTGTAAACCTGCTTTTATCCTAATATTATAATATATAATATAATAAATTTACTTATACCTTAATATTATAATATATAAGTATTACTACAATTACCTTTTATTTAATATAAAATAACTTTAAATATAAAATTAGGAATTTTAATTATGTTTAAAACTTTTATAACTTAACTTTCTGCTTAATGAGTGGTTAAGTTCAGCGCGTCGGAGGTTCAAACCCTCAGCTTGCTTTTTTTT